TAATCGAATTTTACAATTCTAAAAACTGCATAAGCTTTTTTTTTTAACACTTCTGCTTAGCCACTTGGCTAGTCCCTTTCCATCACACACTGCTTGCTGGTTAGCTAGGTAGCTTTCGTTTTACTAATTTATATACAGCATTTGGCTAAAGTGAGTTGGGATGTACATTGATGCTAGACATTTTTACTTGCATACTGCAGTAGGGAAATCAGTGATTCGCCTGAATGTGGGTTCTCAGGTTGGTGTTCGATGTCCAGGACGTTGACAACAGTTTCGTTTTGGGATTACAAAGCAGACATCTGAACACTTACTTTTTTTCAGAAGTTTCAACAAGTTTCATATATCTGTGAAGGTAAGGCCACGATGTGGTAGGGACTTTTGGCTGCTCCTCTCGCTCTGCTTCTGTCTCCTCCTCCATCCTGTGTGGGTGTGTGGCTCAGTGTGTTGTTCGGTGAGTTCCACTGCCATGCGCATGCGCATGTTTCGTAGATACACACAGAGGAGGCAGAATAGAGGCTCATGCGTGAATGTCCAACGAATAACTCCGATTGTTGTTTCAAAATAGAAAACCTGGTTTCATTGCTTAGTTATGCCCTGGATTTTGTAGCGTTTGTGGACGCGACGTCGCTACTTGATCAAAAAAATAGCGTCACTACAGGAAAGTTACTTGATAAATAAAGCAGCGACGCTACGGTCAAGCTACTGGAAAATGTAGTTAAACTAATAGCTTCGCTACATGTAGCGGCGCTACTGCCCATCACTGGACAAAACACAGAACACATAATGTATGTCTATTCTATTAAAATGTCTGTATCTGTATAATTGGTCTGTCTTATGTTTTGTCTTCTCAATTTAGAGGGTCCCCTGCCTGCCTTTGCCTAGGCCACCAAATTTCCTAAATCCGCCCCTGATCACAGATCCTCCAATGTGGGATTTTATTTTACTCTAAACTCAGCTGGAGTGTTTGTTACTAAATAAAGTTGCTGCAGAATTTACTAAACACCATTTATGATGGTAGGACAGAAGAGTTTTTTTTTTTTGTATCGCTCCTAAACAACCAGCAGACCTGTGATGTCTGATTGGTAAAGAGACTTGAATTATCATCCTTTGCAGCAGTTTTTCCTCGTCCTGCTAAGTTCAGGTTGTGTCAAACAAACAAGCTTCTCACCAAAAGCAATGAACCTCCTGGTTTCCTCATTTTTCTGACGTGTTTCACAACTTTAAAGGCTGTTTATATTTTATTTTTAAACCACTGAATTGGATGGATGCTGCATTGAAATGGAGGAAAATCTGTCCCATTATTTTAGCAAGCAAAAAAAACACATTTTGTAAATGGGCATTTAGGGGGGAAAAAAAGCAATCCAGAAATTTGGCTGAAAAATATGTAAATAAAAAAAAACTGATTTGAGGATAACTTCTTTAAGCTGTTTTCTAAGATTACTTTTCCATTTTATTTTTGTACAATGTCACATTTTCTCATTTCTCTTTTTCCAGATAGAAATTTTTGAATTACATTATGGTCTAATTGTATTTAACAGATCGTGTTCGCTTTACTTCTGGGGGCGGGCTTTCCTCTGGATCGAGGAGCAAAGAGGCATTTCTATTGGTCTGCTGGACGTTAGCAACAACATTTTTGTCACAGAAAGCTTTAAGAACAAGCATTTGAATTGGCCTGTAGTGAGGAGTGTTAACTCTGAAATGCAATTAGCTAAAAAAATTTAATTTATTATAAATATCTAAATATTTTTCAGCTTAATTTCTGGATTGCATTTTTTTTCCCTAAATGCCCATTTACAGAATACGTTTTTTGCCTGCTACAATAATGTAGCAGATTTTCCTCCACATATAGAGAGCATCTTCCCAATTCAGTGGTTAAAAACAAAATGTTAAACGTTAAATCTGAAAGTGAAAAATAAAGAAAAAAAATTATAATAAAATTCTGAATTTTGTTTGAAAATATATCTTAAAAAATGAAGAAAATGGAAAAAGGAAACTATTTGAAATAAAAAAGAAAAGAAATAAGCAAAGTTACTCTCAAAACTTTTTAAAATTAAAATCAATGTGTCATTTCTGGTTTATGGTGTTTTATTTCCATTTCCAAACCGCTTTTTGTGCTCGCAACAATTATGAAACACATTTCACTCCATACATTCACATTAACCGGGTTAATCTGCCTTTTTTTAAAAGAACCCAAAAACAACAGGCTTTCTTTGACAACATTTATTAATCTTCAGTGCAGAAAATAAATACAAAAACAGTTTTTGAAGCATATGCTAACAGGTTAACACAGAACTGCTCCGAACACGGAACACGTCTGGAACTTTGATAAAAGAAAACTAATGCGATTTCTTCCACACAGATCCAAGAATCAAGTTTTTACCAATTTCAACATTAAAAAAACGACAACTTTTTGACCAGAAACTGACCGCCGTATGTAACATTTCTATTCTCAGACCTTCAAACCAAGAATAGGGAGGAAAAAAAGACAAACGTTACACATTTAAAGCAGAACTCGACATAAAAGGTGTGGAAGCTCTGTGACGATGGCACAACGAGATACACTATATTGCCAAAAGTATTTGCTCACCCATCCAAATTATTGGAATCAGGTGTTCCAATCACTTCCATGGCCACAGGTGTATAAATTCAAGCACCTAGGCATGCAGACCGTTTTTACAAACATTTGTGAAAGAATGGGTCGCTCTCAGGAGCTCAGTGAATTCCAGCGTGGAACTGTGATAGGATGCCACCTGTGCAACAAATCCAGTCGTGAAATTTCCTCGCTCCTAAATATTCCACAGTCAACTGTCAGCTGTATTATAAGAAAATGGAAGTGTTTGGGAACGACAGCAACTCAGCCACGAAGTGGTAGGCCACGTAAACTGACGGAGCGGGGTCAGCGGATGCTGACGCGCATAGTGCGAAGAGGTCGCCAACTTTCTGCAGAGTCAATCACTACAGACCTCCAAACTTCATGTGGCCTTCAGATTAGCTCAAGAACAGTGCGCAGAGAGCTTCATGGAATGGGTTTCCATGGTCGAGCAGCTGCATCCAAGCCATACATCACCAAGTGCAATGCAAAGCGTCGGATGCGGTGGTGTAAAGCACGCCGCCACTGGACTCTAGAGCAGTGGAGACGCGTTCTCTGGAGTGACGAATCGCGCTTCTCCATCTGGCAATCTGATGGACGGGTCTGGGTTTGGCGGTTGCCAGGAGAACGGTACTTGTCTGACTGCATTGTGCCAAGTGTAAAGTTTGGTGGAGGGGGGATTATGGTGTGGGGTTGTTTTTCAGGAGCTGGGCTTGGCCCCTTAGTTCCAGTGAAAGGAACTCTGAATGCTTCAGCATACCAAGACATTTTGGACAATTCCATGCTCCCAACTTTGTGGGAACAGTTTGGAGCTGGCCCCTTCCTCTTCCAACATGACTGTGCACCAGTGCACAAAGCAAGGTCCATAAAGACATGGATGACAGAGTCTGGTGTGGATGAACTTGACTGGCCTGCACAGAGTCCTGACCTCAACCCGATAGAACACCTTTGGGATGAATTAGAGCGGAGACTGAGAGCCAGGCCTTCTCGTCCAACATCAGTGTGCGACCTCACAAATGCGCTTCTGGAAGAATGGTCAAAAATTCCCATAAACACACTCCTAAACCTTGTGGACAGCCTTCCCAGAAGAGTTGAAGCTGTTCTAGCTGCAAAGGGTGGACCGACGTCATATTGAACCCTATGGATTAGGAACGGGATGTCACTTAAGCTCATATGTGAGTCAAGGCAGGTGAGCAAATACTTTTGGCAATATAGTGTATGAGCGTTACTAATAAACCTTGCACAGGTGCTCGGCCATTAAGTCCAGTTAAAGTTAAAGAAAACGGGAGAAATCTCAACTTCAATTCCAGTTCAATTTAAAAAAATAAAAATTTGACACAACATAAGAATCTAACACTTTGGCAACTACAGATCTATGGCTAGCTGCAACTAAAAGACGGGTCAACCGTAAGAAATAAGTATTATCTAAAAAAGTATTGAAAGATACAAGATTGATTAGTTTGAACCTGCATATTCCTCTGGTTTAAAGAAGCAATCGGTGACATTATCAGATGTGCAGCGAAACCGTGAAGGTTTGTGTTCCAGAAGGCACCATCTCTCAGCACAACCGAATTACGCAAAACATTTCAGACGGGAGGAGAAGCTGAAGGTGTGTTTGGGTTGGACAGTGCCGCAGCCAGGAAGTGATCCATTAAATCCATTACAGGCGATTAAAACAGTAAAAGGCACCAACAGCACTTCAGCTTTAACACAGTTTGTCAAATTACAACCACTGACTTCAATGGTTTCCAGGTTCTTCATTGATTTAAATATATGGAGTGAGTTTTGTTCCATTACTGTTGAGAGCAAAGAACACAATCTGTTAATGGAAAAAAAAAAATTGTATAAATATTTTTGCACCTTTTTTATTTGGAAAAACTTCGATTTAAATAAACAAATTCAGATTGAGAGAAATTTGCATAGAAAAAAATTTGTAAAAAAAAAAAAAAGGAAAATAAATTCTAAGAAAACATTACTCTAAAAACATTTTTTGATGAAAGCTTTTATTCTAAATTAATTGTTTTAAATTTCCATTTCATAAGTTTGCTTTTTGCTTCCGACAGTAATGGTACAAATTTCACTCCATACATTACTTTCCTATCATATTAAGTATTTTCAGAGCTCGCAGCTTTGATGCAGAACAAAAAGGGGGGTGGCCTTAAAGTTGCAGTGTAAAAATGCTCTCTGCACCCTTATTGCCGCCATCTTTGATTTACTTCATGTAGCTACATTGCACTCGTTCCGTGATGAGGTCTTATTGAGATCAGAGTAATATCGCTGGGTTCTGCTCCTCATTCAAGTCCAGATCTTTCTGACAAGAACTAAAGGAACATGTGTAGATCTAGATCTAGACTGAAGGATGGAAATGACAACAGATTCAAATAGAAACCATCCAAAAGGTCTTTTTTCCCCCCTTACAGGCTATGCTGCTTTGGTCAGACAACAGAAACTGAAGTTTATCGGCTCAAGGGGGCAGATTACAAATGCCAGCCACACTTTTCAGATTTATTTAGAAAAAAACATGACATCTATGACTTAATTTGTCAGTTTTTTTTCTCTAAACCTCAATAAAATATAAAGACATCTGAGGTTGTAATATGAGAAAAGTGAAAAAGCTTAAATGTCAGTCGGTACATTTTGTTAGATTAATTTGTAATCCTCAAAGCAAAAAGGGAAGAAAAGAAAGTAACATATAAATATGTTTTTTTCGCCGGATTCTAGTAGTTAAATCAAAAGATCCACCAATAGAAGCAGATCTTATTGCTCAGAATGAGAGAAAAAAAAAAAGATAATTTCTTTAATCTTATTTTATCACGTAGATTTAATCTCATATTAAGGATGGAATAATCATTCCTGGAATATCGTTTCCTTCATTTCCATATCCAGAAATATTGACTGATTTTTAGCAGATTTGTTTTGTTTTTGTGGAAAAAGGTCAGAGGGAAACCAGAGGAGGTTTAGAGGAAGTGAGGAGATGAATTCAGCTGATCCAATAAACACAGCAGCGGGGCCATGATGCTTTCTGTTTTCCTCCCTGTATAAACGTTACCATGACCACCGCAGTGACCTCTGGATCCCCCCAGGCTGGAGTGTGGGTGTGGGACAGGAAAAGGAGAGGCGGTAGAGTCCCGTAGCGGCATGGCGGCCCGCTCAGTCGTCCACGCCGATGTTCCGGAACAGGTAGGACATGGATTCTCCGTTGTGGATGCGGCGGATGGCCTCCGACAGGATCATGCTGATGTCCACCGTTTTGATCTTTGGACACTGGAGCTTCTGCAGCTCGTGGGGGATGGTGTTGGTCACCACCACCTGTGGGGGTCAGAGGAGACTATGAAGGAGGACGTCACAGCAGGTCCAGCAGAAACAGGAAAAACAGGCATCTGACCTCGTCGATGGCCGACTCTTCTATAAACCGCGGGGCTTCCGAGGAGAGCAGGCCGTGCGTCGCCATGACGAAGATCTTGTAGGCCCCCCTCTCCTTCAGCGTCTCTGCCGCCGCCACGAAGCTGTCCACGTCGTCGATGATGTCATCCTGCAGGACAAGAGACGTCATGGCGACCTGTTTGAGAATGTGATGAAGTTAAATGACCTGTGCGAATCTCACCACTATGATGGCGATGCGGCCCCCAACGTCACCCACCACGGTGATCGGGGGCTTCTCTTTGGGGATCAGCACTGCGGACACAGATCAACATTTCCACTAAGCAACGGCGGCTCACACAGCTGGGGGCGTTCGGGGTTAGAAACTGAGCTTTACGTGGGATCTCCATGCTGGGGTGGATGGCTCCCGTGGTCTTGACGGTGGGCGGGGAATGTCGACCGTCTACCTGGTCTGACTCGGCGTCCTGAGCTTCCCCGTGGATCACAGCTATGCCGAGACGAAGCCGCTCGGCGAACGACTGAGCCCTGAACACAGAGCAGAGACTGATATCACCAAGGAGATTATAGGCAAAGGTTCGATCTGTTTGTTCCTTTAAATCAGAGATTTGTGTGACAGAGTTTTCTCCTGATAAAAAAACAAGCTTAGAAGTAGAAGCTTTGTAGGATCCAGTGCTCCGATGACGAGATGAGGAAGATGAAAGCAGAACCACGGAGTGATTGTCGAACAGTGAACGCCTTGAAAACTTTCATTAACCATAAACTAAACGCTAAGTCTCTTTCTTTTCTGGGAACTCTCACGTGATTGGCTCAGGAACCAGGAAGTAAACAAAGGCGACAAACCGCACGGAAAGGAGTTCTGGGCCGCACTTTTAAGTTTAAAGAGAAAAACCAGATAGAGGTTGATGATGAGAGAACAGATCGTTTCTAGATGCTATAACCATCTCAGTTATGTATGGAGTGACTTTTGTTCCATTATTGTTGCAAGAAAATAAGAATTTTAAATGTCGATAAAAAATGTTTTAAGAGTAAGTTAATTTTCTGAATTTTTGTACAAATGTTTCTTTTTTAATTATTTTTTTTTTACATTTTTTTTATTTTTTACAGATTTTTTCCACAGATTCTTTTTTTTGTCAAATTTAAAGTTTCAAATTTATTTTTACAAACTGATTTTTTTTTTTTTTCACATTCTCTTCACTTCTACCAAACATAAAAGCTCAGTCGTGATCTATTAAAATGCCATCACCCAAGCTGACAAACAGAAATCCGTCTTTGCTGCATAGCGCTGTGGAAAGCCCGCCCCCAGAAGTGAAGAGAACATGATCTGGAAAATGCCATTTTGAAAAGAATGCAAATTCTGACAATTTGCCTTCCTGAAAAGCTGATATTTGAAAAATTATATTTAAAAAAATCTAAAACCTATAAAAAGAAAAAAAAAAAATAGGAAAATAAATGCAAACTCATTCTAGTTACTTTAATTAACATTTTTTAATTATGAAGTTTTATTTCTGCATTCAATTTGTTTTATTTACAAAACAGTTTTGTGGCTTGAAATGATAATGGAACAAAAATCCCTGCATACATTCAGAATATTCTGGTTATGCTGCACATTTCTTACTTATTGCTCCTTTATTGGTGCTTAACGTACAACTTTTAGGTGCAATACTGCCACCAACTGGTAAGGAGTGTAAACAGCTTCATCAGGGATTGAGATTCATCTTTAGAAATTACAATTTCTACAGTAAGTTTTGGAAAGTTGTTATTTCTAAACTTGTTTCCTCAGTTTAAACATCTGATGTCACATGTATGTATGTATGAGTTGACCACAAGGAACAAATACACATCTTATATTTATTCAGATTTAATGCCTTAAAATGACAAATTCAGACACTACGCACATATTTCTATTCCACTAGGAGCTCCTCTATCCTGATAAACATCATGTTCAGGAAGGAAAACGGGAAAAAACTAATTTTACAAACTTGAAAATGTTTCAAACTGTCCCCTTTATAGATTAATCCTGAAAAACCAACAAGACTGAGCAAGAGTGGCCAATAAGAACATCAGGCAGAAGGCGGTGGAGGAGCTGCAGGAGTCCACAGCTCAGGAGGGAGAATCTATTAACAGGACAGCTAACAGCTAACAGCCTCGATGGGAAGCAGGTAAAAATTAAATCCTTGTTAAAAGTTTTCCACGCGTTCTGAAGGAGGAACTTTTTATTTTCATCTGACTTCATGTTAAATTCCATCTAAAGCAGAAAACTCACAGCGAGCATCGCTCTGAAGACAGCATACCCAACGTGATGCGTCTGTGTTTAGTTTTTGTAAAACTGGAACATAAACACGATAGAAAAGTCGACCCCTGGGAGCCAAATTCAAAAACATGTCTGAATATTTAGGTTCCTGGTTCTTTTATTTTCTGTCACACAGTTGAAAGTAAGAAAGATGTGAAAATCTTTGATTCTGCAGCTTTGGCGTAAAAAACAAACCAATAAAGCTGCATAGAAACCGGAGCAGACCTCACCTTTTAGCCGAAGCCGGGGATTTCGCCACAATTACAGCATTTCTGTAGTCGGGGATCTGAAGGCAAGAAAGTAAAATGGGATTAAAACGGTGGAGCAGTCGTTAATCTGTAGGCTCTATGATAAATATCTAAGATTTGTTTAATAAAAAGGAATAAAAATAAAGCTGTGAGAACCAGGATAGATGCTGCTGTGTCTTCTGATAAACAACCAGATTTAAAGTCCTTTTGCTTTTGGTTAAAATCAGAAACAGATCAGATGATTTATTTATTGGTAATAAAAATCTGTGTTTCCATCTGATTGAGAAAGTTGCTTCTGACTGAAGTCTGAATGTCATTGACCTGTCAATCAATGCTGGACTCATCAACAATCAACCAATCAGGATCCAGATTTCACCCCAAGTCAAACAGGATCTACAGCTCAACCAGAGCACCAGAACACTTATTTAAAAACTTATTTTTTTAGACTTTATACAGATTTTATTTGTCATTTTGTTTACACAAGTGTAAAACAAAAAGAAATTTAATTTGGAAACAGCTCACTGGACAATTTCATCTTTTAAAAGTACTGCCTTGAAAACTAGTAAAAGTGACTGTAAATTTACAGTTCTAACAATTTTTTAAATAATATATATATAAAATTATTTAAAAAATTGACTTATTTAGATACATAAATAATGATAAAAAAATAATAATTTAATAATAATTGAACTCAACTTCTCTTAGTCCAGTATAAACATCTTTAACATTTACAGGGATAAAGCAAAAAAAAAAGAAAAATCCTGAGCCTGAACTTTTTCAACACAGGCAAGAAAAAAAAAAAAAATAAATAAAAATATATCTATATCTATATATATTAGGGCTGCAACAACGAATCGATAAAATCGATAAAAATCGACTTTTAAAAGCGTTGGCAACGAATTTAATCATCGATTAGTTGTGTCGCGCGATTAATGCGTCATCCGCCGCCGCCGTCATCCCGGGGAAGAAAAAAAAATATGGCGGAGCGAGTCAGCGCCGCAGTTGCAGTGTTGCCAACTCAGCGACTTTTCAGACCCCTCCAGCGACTATTTTTTTTAAAAAGCGACTAGCGACAAATCTGGCGACTTTTTACGGTGTCACTGGCGGCTTTTGGAGACTCTTACGTGAAAGCATGTATCGTTCCTACTCTTGTCCTCCAGCGGCAGCTGCTGCCGTGGGGCGCCTCCCCCATCCCAACGCCTTTCTCCCTCTCCCACAAGAATCCCTCTCAGCGCTGCAGTCCGAGCCGCAGGATTTTAGTGAGGAGTTTAACCTCAGCGTCCAGACTGCAAATGAAGCGCGCATGCCCCGGGATTGACGGCGCAAATTGATCACAATAATTAAAATAGCCTGCGCTTTGTAAAGTGAAAAAAGTCGTAACACGCGACTTTTGTAAAAACAAATAAACATGGCACGGAAGCACCACTGTTATGACGCAGCATCTGAAAAGAAAACATGTTGGAGCCTTCAATGGCAGTGAAGAGAGCTGATCAGCAGGATGAGTAACCGTGTTTGTTTGGTTTTAAAGTGGGGAAACGTAAGTTAGTTTCTCAGGTAGCTCATCTGATGCTTTCCTTACCGTGTTAGTAGGTTACAGACAGTGATAAGGTTGGCTACTTATTTTACTTTTAATTTCATTTGAATTAGCTTAAGCAGCGTTTATATTTTCTTTATAAATAAATTAATTTGCAAATTATGAGGGCAAGGCTTTTAAAGTTTAAATCTTCTGGCAAAGATAAAGTAAAGAAGATCCTGCAATTTATGGAAGTAAAGCAGAATAAAATCCAGCAAGATCAGTAATATGTCAATTAATTATATGCCACATTCCCATGTAAATATCTGTCTTTGGAGGATGTGTTTTTTAGCACCCCTAGTTCTCTCATTTTTATTCCAAATACAGTTTATAATTTGAATCACAGGGCTATTTTTATCTCTATGGTTCAGTATTTTCTCAAGTAGCAACTTTAACTGCTATACTTTCCTGTCTTAAAAGGCAGAACTCTTCTAGTCTAAAAAAACCTCATTTGTTGAAATGGGGGGGCCTATTGTTTGAACCCCTTAGGGGCTTTAAAAAACAAAAATGCCTGTCTCTTTTTGCGCTTTATGAAACAAAGTACCCTATATTTTGTGGATGTACAGCTACATTTCTCATGTAAGTTTGCGTAGTTTTAAAACAAACATTTATTTTTCATATTGCACCAGTACAGTTAATGAGAAACCTGTACTTGTGTGCTTGTTTGTTCTGTCTAAAATGTTTATTTTGGAATAAAGAGGTTAATATAAAAAAAATATTTTGTGTCCGATTCATCGATTAATCGAAAAAATAATCGGCCGATTCATCGATTTTCAAAATAATCGTTAGTTGCAGCCCTAATATATATATATATATATATATATATATATGCGTGTGTGCATTTGTATTTTCAAGCTATGCCGGGGGGGTGTGTGGGATCACAGATTGCATGAATGATTGAAGACTAAATTTGACTTTTGAAAATCCAATACCAAATCTATATCTACCACTTGCATGAACCACTTTTCTTTTGATGTCCAGTTTTGCTGACAAGTTTTCCCTGGAGCACAGCGTGCAGAAACAAGCGCCTGGTTAACCTAACTTCCTGCACCAGCTGCTGCTTGGCTCGCCATCTCGCCCTGTCTCCTCCAGCCAGGCCCAGCGCCATTTATTTTTGAGTCTTTTATCTATGGTTGTGAGATCTTCATGAACTGCATTGTACCCAATCCATGCAATTCCGTTCTCTCCATCGTCCTTCTCTCCAAACACAGAGTTTCATTTATTTATTTTTTGAGTTGTTACTCATCTCTCTGTTGAATGGAGCCGTAAACGGTGCAAGGTGACTCTCTGTGTAGAAATTCAGCACTGAACCACAATCTATCTGGCAAGAAATGAGAGTAGAAGGTACATGCTTTCCTAAGACCCGCCCCCTTCTTCTTCTGATTGGTTAATACTGTTAGTTTCAGACGCCCCTTTGCTACCATTGCTGACAAATGCAAGAGGGATTTCAACTGTATTTTTAAAATGTATTTACTGTCAATTTATTTTCGAGTGATGTTTTTTACCCATGGCCTGGGGCCAGAATACTGTAATCCCTGCATTTAAGTGACAGAAAAAGGAAGACGATGCTCTTCCCCAGATGGTTTACCTCCTCCTGAATGTACTGGAGCAGAAACGGAGACGCTCTCAGGTTGTCCACTGGAATGTTGAAGAAACCCTGAATCTCCTTCTGATGGAGGTCCATAGTGATGAGGTGGGTGAGGCCTTCAAAGAAACCACACCGTCATGTTTGACTCTATGAAGGAACCGTTCCAGAGGGCGGAGCTTTGATCCTCCTACTCACCAGCTTTACAAACCATGGAGGCGATGAGCTTGGACACGATAGAGCCTCTCTTCCTCATCTTGCACTGCTTGCTGTAGGGGAAGTAGGGAAAGACGCCCGTGATGCTGCGGGCGCAGGATGTCCTGCAGGCGTACACCATGATCAGCATCTCCATGATGGTGGTGTTGACGTCCCTGATACAGAAAAACACCGTTTATTCTGCTGGAACTTCTAACTTTCTAATACACTAGAAAAACAATCTAGAAATTAGTAAAAACATCTTAAATTAAGTGTATTTTCTCTTAATTTGAGTATATATATATTTTTACAATATATTTTTACAGGTTTATATTTTCAAATAAAGATTTTCCTTTTTGAAAACCTCATTTAAACAAATTAACACAGAGTGTGATGCCGTTTGAGACTCAACCTGATTCTGACTGGATTGAGGAATGATGAGCTTTCATATGTCGTTCATTTTGTCAGAATCAGGTCGTAAAAACATGTATTAACCCATTCATTAATAGAGTAACCTGATAAATGCTTTCTGCAGGTTCTTTGTTTCTTTGCCTTTATTGAACATTTCCTTATTCGATCTTTTTAGCTCGTTTGTTCTAACCCCCCGGGGTTAGCACAGCTGTGCTGCGCTCAAAGTTTAATCAGAGACACTACAGGTGCTGGTCATAAAATTAGAATATCATGAAAAAGTAGATTGATTTCAGTAATTCCATTTAAAAAGTGAAACTTGTATATTATATTCATACATTACATACAAACTCATATATTTCAGATGTTTATTTTGTTTAATTTTGATGATTACAAATGACAACAAATGAAAATCTCAAATTCATCATATCAGAAAATTAGAATATTGTGAAAAGGTTCAAAATTGATGGCCCCTGGTGCCACACTCTAATCAGCTAATTAACTCAAACCACCTGCAAAAGCCTTTAAATGGTCTTTCAGTCTAGTTCTATAGGCTACACAATCATGGGGAAGACTGCTGACTTGACAGTTGTCCAAAAGACGACCATCGACACCTTGCACAAGGAGGGCAAGACACAAAAGGTCATCGCTAAAGAGGCTGGCTGTTCACAGAGCTCAGTGTCCAAGCACATTGATAGAGAGGCGAAGGGAAGGAAAAGATGTGGTCGAAAAAAGTGTACAAGCAAGAGAGATAACCGCACCCTGGAGAGGATTGTGAAACAAAACCCATTCAAAAATGTGGGGGAGATTCACAAAGAGTGGACTGCAGCTGGAGTGAGTGCTTCAAGAACCACCACACACAGACGTATGAAAGACATGGGTTTCTGCTGTCGCATTCCTTGTGTCAAGCCACTCTTGAACCACAGACAGCGTCAGAAGCGTCTTGCCTGGGCTAAAGAGAAACAGGACTGGACTGCTGGTGAGTGGTCCAAAGTCATGTTCTCTGATGAAAGTAAATTTTGCATTTCCTTTGGAAATCAAGGTCCCAGAGTCTGGAGGAAAAGAAGAGAGGCACTTCATCCACGTTGCTTGAAGTCCAGTGTAAAGTTTCCACAGTCAGTGATGGTTTGGGGTGCCATGTCATCTGCTGGTGTTGGTCCATTGTGTTTTCTGAGGTCCAGGGTCAATGCAGCCACATACCAGGAAGTTTTAGAGCACTTCATGCTTCCTGCAGCTGACCAACTTTTTGGAGATGCAGATTTCATTTTCCAACAGGACTTGGCACCTGCACACAGTGCCAAAGCTACCAGTACCTGGTTGAAGGACCATGGTATCCCTGTTCTTAATTGGCCAGCAAACTCTCCTGACCTTAACCCCATAGAAAATCTATGGGGTATTGTGAAGAAGAAGATGCAATACACCAGACCCAACAATTCAGAAGAGCTAAAAGCCACTATTAGAGCAACCTGGGCTATCATAACACCTGAGCAGTGCCACAGACTGATCGACTCCATGCCACGCCGCATTGCTGCAGTAATACAGGCCAAAGGAGGCCCAACTAAATACTGAGTGCTGTACATGCTCATACTTTTCATGTTCATACTTTTCAGTTGGCCAACATTTCTATAAATCCTTTGTTTTTATTGGTCTTCAGTAATATTCTAATTTTCTGATATGATGAATTTGAGATTTTCATTTGTTGTCATTTGTAATCATCAAAATTAAACAAAATAAACATCTGAAATATATGAGTTTGTATGTAATGTATGAATATAATATACAAGTTTCACTTTTTAAATGGAATTACTGAAATCAATCTACTTTTTCATGATATTCTAATTTTATGACCAGCACCTGTAAAACAGACGCTGACGCTGCAGATAAAGACGAGTTATCTGGAGACACTGGCCTCATTGTTTGCTCTATTTAGTTTCTCTAAATCCTCTCAGGTTCTTCTAGGTTTAGTTTGTGGACAAACATGTCACCTGGAAACTCTGACCAACGTCTGCCGTGTTTTACTGAGCTGAAGACGAACAGAGGTTTTAGCGCTTGTCGCCGTCTCCACTGGAAACCTTCGTTTCCGTCTCCGACGTTAATATGTTGCGCTGCTATGCTAAGTTAAGCTAAGCTAAGCTAAGGACTTCTGATTCTCTCATTTTAGTAGATTTTGCCAAAAAATCTCAAACCATCTTTTTCCTGAAGTTTTTATCTCTAGTCCATCTATGTTAACGAAGGTCGTCGGGTGAAAAATATGAAGTGAACTTTATTCCATCATCGTTTCAAAGGAAGAACAGGTTTTGTAAATGGAAATAAAAGCAATCCAGAAATTTTACTTTCAAAGACTCCAAAATCAAAAAGCTTTTAAAGAAATCTGTCATTCATTCCAATTCTTCTTTTTTTTTTCAAATCTTAATTTTTATAAAGAAAAAAAAATTTGTTTTTAAATTTATTTTATCACAGACTTAGTTTTACAAACTACATTCTTCAAATATTGCGTTCCACAGATCATATGAACTTCTGGCTTTTCTCTGGAGCCAAGATGCATTTCTATTGGTCTGCTGGTCATTAGCGACAACATTGATTTGAGTGGGGAAGGAAGGAAGGAAGGAAGGAAGGAAGGAAGGAAGGAAGGAAGGAAGGAAGGAAGGAAGGAAGGAAGGAAGGAAGGAAGGAAGCATTTGGAATATTCAGTTATTGTATTAAATGTTAATTGGGTTTTCTTTTACTGTATGAAATCACAAAGATTAAAATGTGGTCCGTACATCTAAAACCGACTCCTTTCATGGCTGTTTTTGAGGTTGATGCTGCGATATCTTAGCCTCGTGAGACCATCCTGATCTTGCGAGTTTTCAAGTTTTCAATCGCAGATCAGTCTGGCTACTTTCCGTTAAAGAAAATTTGGGGCAGTTCACCAAACGAACGTCCAATCAGCGTTGGCTTTGAGGCGGGTTGAGGTGTGACGCAACGAGAAGCGCGACAGTTCAGTCTAAAGAACATGGCGGCTTCAGCCGATGAAACTAGCATTAGCGTGGCTATCGAGCAAGTTTTATCGGAATTACAGAGTATTGCTTCACTGAAAGAAGAGCAAAACGCTGCTCTGGAAGCTTTTCTCAGAGGAAAAGATGTTTATGCTCTTCTCCCAACTGATTTCGGCAAGAGTTTGATCTATCAATTGGCTCCTCTCTGTCGTCGCTCTGTTACGTCATATGCTTCATTGATCTGATTGGTTTATTTGGCCCGTCTATCACCAACATAGGCCAATCAGCTAACCAGTATTTTCGCCCCTTCCCAAAATAACTTCAACGGAAGGTTTCCAGATGGATATGCGGAGCAAATCCATCTGGCGGAGTCATCTTAGCGATATCTAGCAAGGAAAATTTTATTGATTTTGCAACTCTAATTGCTCGAAGGAGAACACTGTTAGAATGGAAATCCCAATTACCACCTATGTGTAGGTATGTACTTGACTGTATGATCTGGGTGAACTATAAAGTGCCTTGAGATGACGTGTTGTGAATTGGCGCTATAGAAATAAACTGATTGAATTGAAATGATGCTCCTAAAAATTGAAAAAGTAGAATATTTTCTGAAATGATCAACCAAAAAATTCTACAAAGTCTGAGTTATTTTGACAAACTTGCAACTGTCCCTTCTCACTAGTAAAAGAGTCATAAAACACTACAATCTGAATGGCATTGTACATCTGTTTTAACAACAATAAAAATATGAGTAAAAAAAAGAAAAGCGGTCCATAATAATTCTCAGTATAACGTCTAAAGTGACAGAATAAGATGAATCTAAAGGGGTGTGAATATTTTCTTACTTTGACACCGTCTGGATGATGAAGACATCTTTTCCTCGGACAGACTCTTGGATCTGTACCCGCGTTTCTAAGGAAACAAAAACAGGGTATGAAAAAAAATTAAAAAAAAATAAAATCCAGCCTGTTATCTGATAACAAAGCCTGAGAAGCCCCCCCCCCCCACACTGCTGTAGATACCAGCATTCCAGAACTAAACCACCCACATTAGGAGGGAATTAGAAACACAACGGTTTCCCACAACAGTGTGGAGAGACGGGTTCTGTAGTTTAACCTCAGATTGATCCGTTTTTTTAATGATTTTTCATCATCAGTCTCAGATAAACAGGCAGCAGGAACAGTTTGCCTTAGAATCAGCATCTAAATCATTAGTGACAATGCTGGTAAAAACAAACACCAAAGGCTGAAGTCACGTGGAACAGATCATCTCTGCTTAGACAGAATGTGATGGAGCGTGAACGCATTCTGACCCCCAGTTTAAACTCCGCGCCAAACTTCTAACTCCATGATGTCTGCTCCGCTGTAGTGCGAAGCCTAGAGGAGCTCTAAGCTCACATGGAGCATCAGACGCCTCTGAAGTCAGACCACACCCTCTCCCATGGATTTTAAAGAGGCATTTATGAAGAAACACATTTATAAGTGAGGTTTTAAAGACATCTTTATTAAACCTTTTTAGGAATCTGGTTATAGTTTTATTGGAACAATGTGATTGGTTCAAATAAATCGATTTTCTTTGAACAATTCATAAAATTATTTGATCGCTGCTCCAACATTTGCTCTAAATCTTTTTGAACCAGTCAGAGGGACTGAGGTCAATGACCTGAGCTCACTGTGTTTGTAGCAGCTTTGCATTCCCTGCCCTGTGGTTTGAGCTTATTTACATGACTTTTGTTTTGGTGAGGTCATGGTGAATAAAAAGTGCAACAGCAATCTAAATGCTCAGGGTTGAGTTCTTAATGTTCAGATTAATGGACCAACATAATTGTTTTCTAATTACAATTTTAATTATTCTGAAAATGGCGGCCTCATCATCAAACAATCACCCTGGTCCGCCTGGATCACTAGATTGATAATAAGAAATAAGAAACTGATTCCCAGCATCATGGTTTCAAATGAAGAACAAGTTTTGTAGGTGGAAAAAAATGCAATCCAGAAATTTTACTTTCAAAAACTCCAAAATCAAAAAGGTCTTAAAGAAATCCGTCATTCATTCCAATTCTTCTTTTTTGAAAATCTTAATTTTTATAAAGAAAAAAAATATATTTTTTTAACTTTATTTCATCACATCCATGATCAGAGGAAATGGTACTTTGCGCCTAACAGTGAATATTGGACGTTCAGTTTAAAATAATCCAAGTATGTGAATGGTTCCTTCTGAATGAAAATAGTTGTTTTAATGGTTTTGAGTCAGATATGTGGCGGGTAGGGGAGGGCGTTTCCTGTTGGTCATCAACTTACCTCTGTTTGCTTCCTGGTAAACCTGCACCTTTCCCAGCTCCACCCCTAATCGCCTAGAATGGGAGAATACAAGAATGAGAATATATTTTCAGTCACTTATTATTAAGTTATTTAACATATCGCCAGATTATGAAATTAAATATTTTAATGAAAACTTGGTGTTACTGAGAAATGGAAGGAAAGAAATGGTTTTAAAACGTTCAAACAGATCTGAGCTCATCAATAATAAGCTTCTGTGCCTCCTGAGGAAAACCATCCTCACAGCATAATGCTGCCCCCACCATGCTACACACTGAAAGAATGTGTCTTCAATAGTACCGTCAGGAAAGGACATCTTTTATTGGAAATTATTGCAATAAATAATAATAAATGACAACGTATATTTTTCATGTACGGTATATAATAAATAATGTAAGTTAATCCTATAAAAGATCAATAAAGCTTCTATTTTGAAGAACACTGGAAGAGGACGACATTTTAAATATTCAAAACCAAAAAATAAAACGGAGTATCATGCTACGTTCAGACTGCAAGCAGCAGGAGCAGCAAAAATGCGCGTTCTGCTTCATTTTTGATGCTTGTACAAGTTTATTTCTGACGCGCAGCTGAAGTATCTTTGCTGCTCTGGCTGCCCGTTGGCGGAGCTACCCTATCCTTTCTTTGTCTGTAACAATTGCAGCTATATAAACTATTACTAAACTAGTGCTTTTTACATAGGTATCACACAGTGTTGCAAAAATAGTTAAAAACACAACTAAATAAAAGAAGTCATGTATCTTGCATATTAAGTTACTTTTATACAATTATTTCATATCTTACTCTGCTAACAAGAAACAGCTGTATTAAAGTAAGTAAATATGCTTACATAGATGAAAAAGACGCATGATTTATTTTTTCAGGGCAAGAAAAGTAATATTGAAAAGCTTTGAAAAGTTTCCTCCAGCCCCCATCCGACAGTCAGATTCATTTCCAGATTGTGCTCTAAACAGCTGGATCTACCTCCTCCAAACTCCTCACAACATGTTCTTGATCCAGAATAATTCATCATTGCGTTCCGACACTGTTTACATTTAATCACTGCTGCACTTTATGGAATCGAAATGTTCATTTACTGTCTGAAAAGCAGCAAAGTAAATGAAATCTCTGTGTAAACAAAACAACAATAAAAGTTGTCTAAGTCTAGGTTAAAGTTGCCAAACCAAGGGAGACACATAATTTTAATAAAAAAATAACTGCTTTATGGGAAGCACATAAAGAAACAAAGGAAAAAAATGGTTTTGCCACAAGTTAGAGATTCACACTTCCTGGAATTTCCTTGATGTGGTTCAGCTTTACTCTGTTCTTCTGTAGCCTTTCCCAATTTTGCTTGAATGCTGTTATAATTCCTGTTGCTGGTGAACTTTTTCCTTAGCCTGATGTAGTCCTACTCAATTCTAGTCAGAATATGAGTCTGATACTGCTCCATAGAGCTGTGATAATGGGGCGTGTTTTGAACGAACCAGGAAAAAAAAATGCCTCTGCATTCAATTGGATAGACCTACAACCAATAAGAGCAACGGAGTGCGTGACTTATGTTAAGCGACGCATAGTTGTTGTCAACAAAAATCAAAGCGTGCAGTTGCACGCCTAGAATAAGAAGATGAGCCTTGATCGCGTTTCTCTGTTCCTCTTTTAAAATTAAATTGCTGTCGATATCTTCTAGAACAGACCTAATAGCAGAATCTACTCACCTCAACTCTCCAGCGGCAGCCATTGTTGTTGTCACCCAAGCGCGCTTTGGTCACATGGTTGATTACGTTACTGTTGATCATCTGTCCATCATCGTATAAAGCCCGCCCTGACAATTTGACCCGACCTCAAACGTTGTGGGCGGGACTAAGTTCGGAATGGCACCCAGGCTACTTTTTCCTACCACCCTTTTTTTCTTAATCTTTTTTTTTTTTTTTTTTTTTTTTTAAGTAGTTTTAATACATATTTTAAGTGAGAAAATCCACCTAAAAACATCATCTGTTAAGTCAGTTCATCCAGATTACCATCCTGTCATCAAATATTAGTTCTGTTGGAGCCGCTCAGACCCCCGTACACCTGCGCTGCTCTGTCACCTTTCAACATCAGCCTCTGGCCCGGTCGCCTCTTCACGGTGTGCCGCTACCGTTCACGGCGGCTGGAAGTAGATGTTTAGCGTTTTTCACGTACGTAATCCTAACTGTAGCCCCCAGGATAATAAAATCTAACATGTTTTGCCAGAAGGTTTCCACATTTTAAGTTAATTTAGGCGTTAATAAACAGTTTTAGAGGAGTGATCATAGCGATCTGCATCAGCAGTGCTGTGTCTGTCTCCATGCCAGCTCCCAGATCAGCTTCTCTGATTGGTTGATGCGGCGCGTCGAGCAGCAAAATGCAGCTGCTGCTTCTGAAGCGTCAGATGTTCAGGAGCTCGTGAGGTGCTGCTTCGGCTGCTAAAAAAAAACAAAAAACTTTTGCTGCGCCGAGATGCGCGTCAACCATTGACCTTGCATGTAAACTTGCTGCTTCTGCTGCTTTAGGTGTGAATGTGGTATTCTTTGTTGACAAAAAACAAAATTGGTAAAAAAGAAACAAAAACCTCACAAACAATGTTTTACTCCTCAAACAAGTCGCTTTATACTATAGTAATATTAAACACATAATTTTGACTTTTTAAACATTGGTTTGGAGATGAAGCGCTCCTGTGACAGTGTGTGGGGAACTCAGACAGCCAACTGGATGTAGTTTTTTTTCCAGCAGGTTGTGTTTTAGTTGAAGCTCCAAGTTTGTTTTATTGCAGCTTTTAGTTGCTACTGCTGAACAATGAATGTGCCGAACCGGCTGCTCCAGGCTAAGAGGTTCACTGCGGCAATCTGGCTGGAATCCAAGGTGCTTCCTGTCTGCCGCCGTCACATTCGGCTTTAAAACCAATTCCACCTCTTTCTAAATTCTGGACGACCGTTTCACTGACAGCCTCCTCCTCATTTGGCTTTAATGTTAAACTGACATCATTTATTTTATTGCTCATATTGAAGTTTGGCTTTAAAAAGAACTTGATGGGGAAAGAAAGATGGGACATTTACTTAATAAAAAAAAAAAAGTTTTTACACTCCCTTGAGTTGGTTTTTTGACTTTGTATTTTTTTTTTTGACAAATGAGATCAAAGGAGACGGAAACGGTTTCATGAAGTTCTGACATAGCAAATATGTATGTCACATGACTAATCAGCTGTTAGCGCTGCCGGCTTCACATTAGCATCACATGGTGGAGTGAAACATCACTAGAGTTTGTTTTAGCCAAATTATGTCCTTTTTGGCTTCCACATGCATCCCTGAGGCGTTGAGCAACATCTCCCATTGGAAAGGTGAGCAAACATCTAAAGATCCTGTGATTTGGCTAATAAATACCACCACTATCAATGGATTCAACAGAAATAAACGTGAATATTTATATGGAAATAAAGGGAGAAAATAAACCTGTCAAAAGTATTCAAAATATAGTTTTCTAGCAGAATGTATCAAAGTCCTGTCGTGAAATGTAGTGCCCAGCAGACAAAGCCAAGTTGTTCCTTCCTTCTCTAAACAGTTTCATGTTTTTAAATTTTTAAGAGTTTGTAGCACTAAGCATCAGCGGCCGTTTATATTTGGTTTCATCATCAGAACTGAGAGATCTAAAGCGAAAAGAGTGAAACACAGTTTTGAAAAATAATAAATAAAAAAAACTCGACATCAGGGGAAAACTTGGGCCACATTCAGAGGTGATTATTTAGGATATTTAAATAATAAAAATCCTATTTTTCTAAACAGCAAAAAACATGTGGAGTGTGTATGATGATGTCATTCACACTCCTCTTTGTTTTTAAAAATATATAAATATAAAAGGTATAACCGCGGATGTCTGGGGGACAGTGATTGGCCTACATGTTATGAATGCTGGCCTACATTAAATGATTAATTATGGACAGTTTAGTTTGTGCCTTCAAGTCGTTGCCCCAAGGAAGACTTTACTTGGATATAACTAGGGCTGCAACTAACGATTATTTTGAAAATCGATGAATCGGCCGATTATTTTTTCGATTAATCGATGAATCGGACACAAAATATTTTTTTTATATTAACCTCTTTATTCCAAAATAAACATTTTAGACAGAACAAACAAGCACACAAGTACAGGTTTCTCATTAACTGTACTAGTGCAATATGAAAAATAAATGTTTGTTTTAAAACTACGCAAACTTACATGAGAAATGTAGCTGTACATCCACAAAATATAGGGTACTTTGTTTCATAAAGCGCAAAAAAAGACATTTTTGTTTTAAAAGCCCCTAAGGGGTTCAAACAATAGGCCCCCCCCATTTCAACAAATGAGGTTTTTTTAGACTAGAAGAGTTCTGCCTTTTAAGACAGGAAAGTATAGCAGTTAAAGTTGCTACTAGAGAAAATGCTGAACCATAGAGATAAAAATAGCCCTGTGATTCAAATTATAAATTGTATTTGGAATAAAAATGAGAGAACTAGGGGTGCTAAAAAAACACATCCTCCAAAGACAGATATTTACATTTAATTAATTGACATATTACTGATCTTGCTGGATTTTATTCTGCTTTACTTCCATAAATTGCAGGATCTTCTTTACTTTATCTTTGCCAGAAGATTTAAACTTTAAAAGCCTTGCCCTCATAATTTGCAATTTAATTTATTTATAAAGAAAATATAAACACTGCTTAAGCTAATTCAAATGAAATTAAAAGTAAAATAAGTAGCCAACCTTATCACTGTCTGTAACCTACTAACACGGTAAGGAAAGCATCAGATGAGCTACCTGAGAAACTAACTTACGTTTCCCCACTTTAAAACCAAACAAACATGGTTACTCATCCTGCTGATCAGCTCTCTTCACTGCCATTGAAGGCTCCAACCTGTTTTCTTTTCAGGTGCTGCGTCATAACAGTGGTGCTTCCGTGCCATGTTTATTTGTTTTTACAAAAGTCGCATGTTACGACTTTTTTCACTTTACAAAGCGCAGGCTATTTTAATTATTGTGATCAATTTGCGCCGTCAATCCCGGGGCATGCGCGCTTCATTTGCAGTCTGGACGCTGAGGGTAAACTCCTCACTAAAATCCTGCGGCTCGGACTGCAGCGCTGAGAGGGATTCTTGTGGGAGAGGGAGAAAGGCGTTGGGATGGGGGAGGCGCCCCACGGCAGCAGCTGCCGCTGGAGGACAAGAGTAGGAACGATACATGCTTTCACGTAAGAGTCTCCAAAAGCCGCCAGTGACACCGTAAAAAGTCGCCAGATTTGTCGCTAGTCGCTTTTTTTTTAAAATAGTCGCTGGAGGGGTCTGAAAAGTCGCTGAGTTGGCAACACTGCAACTGCGGCGCTGACTCGCTCCGCCATATTTCTTTTGCTTCCCCGGGATGACGGCGGCGGCGGATGACGCATTAATCGCGCGACACAACTAATCGATGATTAAATTCGTTGCCAACGCTTTTAAAAGTCGATTTTTATCGATTTTATCGATTCGTTGTTGCAGCCCTAGATATAACCAAACGGAATATCTTCAAAACGGCTCCAAATGTCACAAAACTCATATGGGTGAGTAGAACACGATGTAATAACGTAAAATCAAGGGCCCAATGTAAAAAGAAAAGGCTTCCCCCTTTAAATACCCGTAATAAATGTCTAAATGTGCCATTAGAAGTTTAACTTTTCCTTATTCTAAACCTGTGCGGTCCTCAACACCCCATAAACCCCCCCCCATACTCACTCAGCGATCCTCTTGCCGAGTTCGCGACTCGACGGGTGTGAGTTGGCGGTGAAGATCACCAAGCCGCCCTTGGTGTGGTTCATGTCTCTGGGGTCTCGGCCGCTGCTCTGGCCACACTCAGGCAGTGGATCCCTGGGCACCCACGCTGCGCTGAGACCTTCCTGCAGTGGAGATGGAGGAGCGGTTAACGACGAGCAGGAACACCGCTAAGCTAAAGAGGCTGGTTTGAACCGAGCACAGGATCCAGTTTGCAGCAACTGCCCCTCATTTCAGCTGGTGAGATCAAGCTCATTTCTCAGTGAGCTACTGCTTAGGAAACCCCTTTCCATGAAGAAAAGGGGTCTCCTCTTGTGAAAATAAAGACATTTTTCCCATTAGAAACAAGCATATACTATCAGGGACGGAGCTAGATGGGGGGCCAGCAGGCCTTAGCTAATCATATGCCACTCCCTTTTTCTCCTCCAATGGTGGAATAGTGGAGATTGGAATAGCAGGGGACGGAGCGACCGAACCCGACCCCTTCCCCCCGCCTGCCTTACCGTGCTCCCCAGGAGTCCACGGGGCCGCCGGTGTCCAGGGCCAGTCGCTCCATCCCCGGCTGCCTCCCTGCCCCCGTCTGCCGGGGTTCCCGGACCAGCCGGCGCTGACGGCTCGGTTCGAGTGGCCGGTGTGTTTCGACTACGTGCTGCATTGTGGTCGACCAAAATCTCACCCGCTACGTTTTTATTTAGTCTCATCAACGAAACCTCACACCCATGATTCGTCATCAAAGATCCATGTTTAGCTCGTCAGTTTTTTTTATCGTCAAAAAAAAGGAGGAGCGTCAATTAAACAATTTCATGTTGTTGTCATGACGACAACAACGTTGCTCATAAGTTTATAGATGTCAACGTTTTGTTTACATGATCCAAGATGAATACAGCAACCCGACATCATTCCTACCTACATAATGGGTTTTAGAGATTCGTTGATGTAATCTTACACATACGCATCTCTTTACATTTGTCTTAATGGTATGCATTGTACCAAGTTTAATTGTGCATGGAACAAATAACCTTTATAATTATAGGGGTAGAAACAGAGAACATGATGTGAAGTTTAGAATGTTTTATGGATTTGCAGATTTTCAGCATGTTAAATTCTATCTGTTAAAGTTGCTCAGAATGGTTGAATCTAACGTGAAAAACACACTAACTTATGTTGGTGGGTGAGCAACTTAGCAGATGAAGTAAAGCAGAATTAATCTGAACTACTTTCCAAAACACGACACTATAATTCATGCACGACTGTCGCTCTGATATGGCAATGCCAATGGCTAACTTCCTTCAAACTACTTCAGCTTAGGGCTGGGCGATATGGAAAAAAAACTATATCACGATATGGATTATTTTATATCACGATAACGATATATATCACGATATACCACTACTGATGTTGCATTTTATGTTTTCATAGTCCGTCAGATGGACAGGGTTGAAAAAAATCTTTCATCGCCTATTTTTTACCCATCATCTTGTTTCCTAATATGAGAATCCCAACCCCAAACCAAGAACACCAGTTATGCAATTTGCGGCCATGACAGTGAACAGTATAGAATCCTGGCTATTGCGCTGCAGTAATTAATCATTTCATATTCGTTTGTTATTGACATTTTATAAAATTCCAAGGCCAGGTTTTTCTCTTGTCTTTCACTTACCTTGTTTTCTATCTGGGATCGAGTGTACGGACGAGGTCCCGAAAGCTGTCTTTCTCGACTATGTAAACGGGGGCCATGCCTTTACAGATATAGCGTGAAATAGCACCTGTGATCTGCTTGTGTCGCTGAGACGTCTTCTCATATTGTGATCCTTGGGCGAATGCTTCCTTAAGCTTCGGCTGTGAGAATTTCTTTCCAGTGCTTCCTGTATTTTCATCCCTTGTTTGTTTTGATCGGAGTGGTTGTAGTTTCCCGTGTTCTTGTTCATGATTTTTCTTCAGGTGGTAAAAGAGGCCGGAAGTATTTGCATCAGCCGCTGGAACGGCTTTGCTGCACAGTTTACATATCGGCTGCGTTTGTTCTTTATCAGATGGCTGAAATCCGAAATATAACCAAACAACCGAGCTGCCTCCCCTTTTGGGCAAAAGTGGTGTTTGTTGTGTCTGTGACCTGGCAACCGTTTCGGACTCTGTAACCGCTGCTGTGGTAACATCTTCTTGGGTGTCCATCATTCATTTTTCTTCACGCCAGAAAGAAATTTCGCGGTCTCTCTCCGTCAGTAATGTCGCAAACGTATGGTGCAAAGCCGCGTGACGTAAAGCGGTGTAGTGTCGCAAAACCACGTTCTCTACACATTATCTTTTTATTCTCTTTTTTTTTCGTTATATACACTTCGAGTTTGCATAGCAAAAACGCAAAATGTTATATTAACAAATTATATTAAAATGTATATTAGCAGTAATAATAATAATAAAAAAGTTTATCACGATAGAAAAAATAGAGGAGAAAGGTCACGATAGACATGTTTCTCTCGTCCTCACGATATATATCGCCATATCGCCCAGCTCTACTTCAGCTCATTGAAATGTTATCCTCGTACATAAAAGGCTGAGGGGAAAGTTAAGGTTATAGAAAATATGTTGAAGTTGTCATAGTTGGAATATAATAAAGGCTCGACTAGCAGGGGAAGCATTATACCAATATAATCTGTAATCATCTCTTCATTATGTATAGGATTCAAACCCAGAAAAAAATTTATATATATAAAATTAGAGCTGCAACTATAGATTGCTTTGCAAATCGATTAATCTGTCGATAATTTTTTTGATTAATAATCGGATAGCAAAAGGTTCCTAAAAGAAGTTTTTTTTTTACAAAATTAAACCAGATGAAACTAAAACTTTTCCACTTGAGGAGTTCTGGATTGAACATTTTGACAGATTAAAAGGTTTTTTTTATATTACATGCTAAATTTTTACATTTTTATAACAATTTTGATATAAAGGCTGCTCTAACAGGGTCACTGTTAGCTAACATATTTTATCGTCTCTATATTCCAGTTAACGATTAATCAACTATTAAACTAGTTGACGATTATTTCAATAATCGATTAATCTGATTACGGTAATTGTTTCAGCTCCATATAAAATGTTAGAATATTAACGTTTGTTCAGTGTTAAAAATTGTCTATTTATTTGAACTAGTTACAAAAGAAGACCTTTTTAAAAACAGAAAAGGATACTCCAGACTTCCTGCAGTAAAATGGTAACATGATGAGAACAACTTTACTGGATCAGGAGTTTTTTGGAGCGTTTGTGTTTGTCTGTCTTTGTACAGCATAACTTGAAAAGTTCTGAACAGATTTTAACGTTATTTTTACCAGCGGCCGGCCTCGTGTCAAGGAAAAATTCATTAACACCATGTAATGATCCAGATCATCTGAGAGTTGTAGCTATAGGTTTAAATCATAATATGGAGGGGAAATATGCTGCCTGGCAGGTCTGCGCTTTCCGAATACTTTTCTAGTTTTAATCCTAACACTTAGGGCAGGGAATAAGTGATTAAATCCATTCCCTCCACTGATGGTGTATAAGAAGGTGAGCCTGCGATCAGACTTTAAGCATATTGACGACACATTTAAACAAAGTGATAATATTGACAACTGTGGTGAATTTGCACACAATAGAAGCATGGTGCTATCAGGGTGTAGTTTGCACCCTGATCCTGTGACGTGTGATAAGACCCATCTGCTCTATCCCCTCAAAAAACATTCACTACATTTACTAGTTAGTTACAATTTAAATAAAAACGCTTCTTTTAATAGGATAGTCAGAAATTTAGCTTTATTTTTTGTTGTAATTTTGATCTTTAAATAAGGTTGGATTTACATTTAAAAAACGGATAAATGACTTAACTCTAGTAATCTCTATGAGGTTTTCAAACTATTAGAAAAACTCAACCTTACATATGTTTAATTAGCCTGTAAAATATCTAGATTTCAGTAATTGTTTCTACATAAATCGATGAAATTTTAAAGGTGCTGCTTGGAAAAACGGTACCAGAAAGCTTCATGTTTGAACATACACAATCATGCCTCTCCATATACCACCTAAATTAATAATAATAATAAAAATAATAATATATATAATAAATACATAAAATAATTAAATACGACCTAAAATAAAAGAACCACTGCAGATATATTTACTGATATTAATTGTAACTTCTTAATAAGTAGAATAATTAATAATACTTCACAGATTTTCATGGAAGTAGCTGAATTTATTTGTTAAGTTATTCTTCTTTTGTGATTTTAATGACAACTTTTCACAAGTTTCAAGGTAAATTTGGGAACAAATGACACCAGGTTGTTTTCTGAAGCGAAATGTCAAAAAGTTTATCCAAATTAAAATTATTTTAACTATTCGGACAGGAAAAATAAAAACAAAAACCCAGCCATGCTAATTGGAGGTGATAATAATCATTATAAGAGGGCATATCAGGTTACAGTCTGTGATAAACAGTAGAAAAACGGTCAGACTACAATAAGAAATAATGTGCGAAAAAGTAAAAATGTTAGTAACTCTTCAAACGATTTTAACAATTGTGTTTTTTTGCGGTAGTTCCTTGTTTATAAGAAATGAGCACGTGACAGGCAGTGGGTGAAAACAGTCACGACGTTAGCTTTAACCATGCTATGCTAACCAACACAATTCAGGGATGTATTTTAATTTAACACTGTACCAGATTTAAAATATGAGCTGCTCTAATACAGAAATAAAATAATAGACCATAATAGTAATCATAATAAATAATTTTTCAATAAACAGGGAAATAGGATCGACTTTAGCATCGTAGCATAACTAGGGATGGGGATCGTTAATATTTATTGATATCGATACCTTTATCGATACTCCTTATCGATCCGAGTCTTTATCGATACCACTATCGATACTTTTCTGTTATTTGGTGGAAAGACGATGCGACAATATGTTTTTAACAGAACTGGTATTGCTTTTATTGCTTAACAAGTGAGCATAACAAAAAAGTTTCTAGCCTTCAGTAAACATGGCTAATGTAATAGGCCACTTCTAAATGACATAAAACTAACTAGAATATATCAGCAGCACCAAATGAAAAATAAAATGTCATAATGTATATAAATTAAATGAATAATATGCTGTGTCAGAAAAAAAGGAAATAAAATATCAGCCCATAAATTAACAGGTATTTTTTTGCAGAAAAATTAACATGTCTGTCACTTTTCATCAGGTTTTTAGAGATTAGGAAAATATTTATCAAATAAATAATTTTATTTTAAATTAAATGTAATTTTTAATAAATGTTGGCATCAGTAGTTTAATTATATATTGTAAAATAATTACAGCAATATACAACTGTATTACTCATGTTTCTCGCCAAAAACTCAATTTCCCTTTTCTTTACGTTACACTTGAACGCATCATGATAACCTAATTGTCGTTTTACTGAGCCAACCTGAACACATCATCACGCAGCACGTCTGAAACTTTATTTACTTTTTAAGCTAACTAGCTTGTATGCTGCCGATTACAACACGGATTTCACAATTACCATTTTTAAGTGACCAGACAAGCTACAAAGTCTGTGTGCGCGCTAACCAGTGGTTCTCTGAGTGGATGATGAAGACGGGCCCGACTGTGGTGCGGCGGGGCAGCAGCAGGAGGAGGAGGAGTCTTTTCCGTTCAGCCATTCTCGAGTTGCGAGCAAAGTTAACTGCCAGACTTCACTTGTTTTACTTTTAATATCTGTTTGCTTACAATTTCATTCCAAAACATTGGTAGACATGCTGCAGTGATTGGATTGATTAGATTTAAATGCTGTGACGCGACTCGAGGGACACACAATTATGTTACAGGACCTCCGGGAAAAAAAAAAAAAAGACCAGACTCGATAGTGGTATCGATAAGCCCAAACGTTATTGATTTTCGGGTTTTGAAAAAACTGGAACCGGGTCCTTGATAGAACCGGGTTTCGATCCCCATCCCTAAGCATAACGAGAAGCCAACATTAACGCCTGAGTACTAACGCGAGATCTGGCTAAAAATAATCCCTCCGAGGCGAAGCTCGCAGAGCAGCGGAGGGATTTTTCATGGGTCGGTGAGCGTCTGGCTGCAAGGTTAACAGGAAACACCGAGAACAGGGAAAATAATAATCATTATAGAGCCTCTCTTACCAGCTTGTGTTTCAGATCCGGTTACAACCTGCAACCAGCCGTATTTGAATATCGCTTCAAGCCTACGAGGCTTTTCAACCTGCCCGACTCAGACTGTCTGACTGCGCGTCGCTCGGAGTCTTTGACGGACGTGGCCACTGGCCAATCAAATCAAAGGGATGTATGGGCGTATGACATGGGCTCTCTTGGCAGCCATGATACGTTGGCGCAGCCGCCATGCTGTGAGTGGCAAATGCATCTAGTTTATACAGCTTAACTAGTTCGCTCAATAAAATATGATCCTTTTTGTACCAGAAAACGTCCCAATTGAGACAAAACTGAACTACATTCTCATATCAAAATAAATACATTTAAAAAATAACACACATTTATAATGTATCCCAAATTGCTACCATAATTTAACCCTTTATAAGGCAATTTAGCGTTTCTGATCACTTGAATATCCCTTACAAATGGGTAAAAAGTTAAATGTTAAAAAGTCAAGGCAAAAAGGTAAAAAAAAAATATTAAAATGTTAAAAAGTATTGATAAAAGGTAAAAAGCAAATTGAAAAGTTAAAAAAGTTAATGAATTTCTTAAAGAAGCACTTTTGTTATTTTTCTTAACATATTCAGGCAAGATTGCGTTTCTTGTTATTATATTGACATTCATTTTTGCCATCAAAATATCCATATTTTTTAATGTTACAAAGGTAATAAGGTGTTATCCTGGATTCAAAAAACATTACTGGCCTGAAATTGTGATTTTAAAGGATTTCACTGAGGGCCCTATAAAGGGTTAGAAATTGCTCTTTCAGTGTCTGTGAGCCTCACCAGGCTGTGTTCAATATGATTTGCTAATTTCCACCACAACACTACAAAAATATAAAACCTAATATCAATACCCAGTATATTATTAGATACTCTATGACTTTTATTAACATAAAAAAATATCACCTTTCTCATTTACACCATCCTTTCACAATAGAATGAACACCTATAGTCAATTAAATATAAGCAAAATAAATTTGGCAATTTTTAAGGTAACTGAATCTTCATACAATCTAGAAATCTAATATTAACAGCAAAAATATGCAAACATCACATGTCTTTAGTATCCATACCACAGTAGAATTATTTATTACATGTATTACAGCAGCAGGAGTGATTTTTTTAACCTCTTACACCCTCAGGGGGTATAAATAAATTTCTGCCTGACAAAAACACACAAAAGTAAATCACTTATAGCCTCACAGCCATTAGATTTAAGAAGAAACTTTTGGTACCTCTGTAAAGGTAAGATGTCATAAAATGGTTTTCTGGTGTCAGCACCATTGTAGCTTTGACCCTGCCTGAAATATTAGGGACAAAATACAAAATATTTAGCATTTTTTGAACCTCGCCAAAATTTTCTTTGAAATAAACATTGCAAAACACTACCAAAATATTATTTATAGCACAAAAAAGTAGTACAGACTTTTAAATCTAAATGTTGTGTAAAAATATACCAAATTTGGACTCAATCAGATGAATCATATTTATTTTAGAATATTATTAGTGAGAAATTTCTTAGGCAGAGAGGCCATTTTGGCACATTTATCCAAAAATGTCACCAAACTGTGCCAAATGTGTTTTTTACATCAATACTGGGGGTTTGTTAAAATTACGAGGTCACGTAGCAGCTGGAGCCACCGGTGGGTCCGTAGGGTTCAAGGGGCTAAACAATCGTACAATACCACATCTAGTACAAAATCTAAAATTTCAATTCCATTTCAATTCAGTTTATTTATATAGCATCAATTCACAATTTCACAAAACCCCACCAGTCCAAATTCTCATTAACTGTCATGACTCTTGCTGGTGAAGATTCTCAGTCATCCAGGTCATGCCAGACCTGGATGCCAGAAATAGTGTTGTGTTGGAGGCTTTATACAATAGCCAACAATGCCTTGTTTTTTTATTCATGACATTTTGAATTGAAAAAGCTTCCCGACTGGGAAGTGTAACGTCTTCAAACTTGGTAACAAAGTCCAGTGCATCGTTCTTTTAACTTTTTTCGGAATGCCATGACTCTTCCCTAAAGACCAGCTCAGAGTTGCCATGTCTACAAATAGCTCCTTCTGAGCCATCAATCTCTGCCAATGCTTTCCAACCATGATTTTTATTTTTATTTTTCTCTATTTTCCCACAAAGCCTTTAAGTTTTTAAGGAACACCGTATAACTTAAATGACTGGTGGAGGTAGTAAATGGTTCCATTGGAATAACACAAAAGCAGTGCTGGCATATAATTCAGACACTTCACTCGTTTATGTCTATAAAAAAGAATAAAAGAGAGTTCACCTATTTTGCTGTTTAAAAAAATGTAAACCCTTTCTATCTAAGCTTTGTATTTACCACTTATGAATAGTAAATATGATTAAATATAAATATTTCCTTCCAATTACTCGGTCAATAACAGGAGTATTCTTTCCCAACACTGAATACCTGAGGGTTATTCTTCCCTCTGGCCGCTAGAGGGCAGTGCGTGGCTATGGGATCTTAAACCCTTCAAACTGACCCTATTTTATCCTTCTTTTGGCTCTAGCTAGAAGATCTTGACACGTATTTAAACAACAATCAAATCCATCTTATTTTTAATTATCTTATTTTTCATGTTTGCTCAATTTTTAGATGCTCTTGGTCAAATCCTTCTTTTTTCAGGCTGCTGCTTTTAAGGATGAAACACATTACAGGTCTAAATGTGAAACTTTGACATCTGTCCCACCCAGCTGGAGGCTTATATCATATATAATCTTCATATGATTGTTCATAATTTGCAAAAAAAAAAGCGAATGTTTCAGTCAAAAGGTAACAGCTAAATTGGACACTCACATATTTGGCACATTTTTGTGTTTTTAATTTGCAAATAAATGGAAAAACAAAAAACATGCATTATTTCTTTCCACTTCTATGTAATACGCTTCTTTGTTTTGGCCTTTTTAAATAAAATAAAATAAAATGAAGCAAATTCATAAGATACATTTTAATAGTTATGAAAAACATAAAATAAAGCTCTGAGTTTAAAACATGAGTTATCACAGCTCCAGGGCAGTTAGCTTCTCTTTTTCATTAGACATATTTTTAAATATTTCTAAAGTATGGACTACTCTTCAGCTGCTCTTATATAACTCAGTGGATTTGCGGAGGAGGCAGGAGCAGCATCCAAGCCCTGCAAACTGCCCACACACACACAATGAAGAAGAGAATGGAATAATGAAGCCGGAGGAGACAGAGAAAAAACTGATCATTCTGCTGTGAGAAGTCACGGTCTGTTTCACAGATCTACGCTCCCGTTCCTCCGATTATGTTTCTAAACACAACATATGGGGACAATTCCATGTCCGTTTTCTACTCTAAGGTGAAGGAAGTTTGGTTGAAGGTTCCAGGGTTCCAAAAAGAGGGATATGCTTTGGTTTGGTGACCGTTCTATGATCTTCTATCACATATTTAACCTGGATTTATGTAGCTTAGCTGAGCAAGAATCTATTCTACCTTTTCAAAAATAAATCAGATACAGAAACGACTAAAACTGCTTATTCTAATCTTTTTTCCAGGCTTCGATGGGGGATTTCAAATATTCAATGCAATCTGCAGGTTTCCTTACAAAACTTTTTACTTATTTACATTTTTATTTTTTATTTTGACTAAAATGATTCTCATTGCTTTGAGGTTTGTTTTTAAAAAATGGCGTTGATGCAACTGGATCAGAATCTAAATCTGGATTGTATGGAGTAATAAAACAATCAATAAAAGCATATGCCACGGTGTCTACATTTGTAAATTTAAATAAATTAAAATAATTTAGATTTGTATTTACACCTTTTCAGCTCATGCAATCATGTGACATCAGATGTTTCATCGGGGAAAATACAAAATGTAAGATTATGATGGTAGAACCCTGCTAAAATACGAACTGAATCAATAAGCTGGGATAAAGCTGTTACACTCCCTACCATTGGTTTCAGTTTTCAATGAGGAGAAGAGGAAGAAGACACACACACACACACACACACACACACACATATATATATATATATATATATATATATATATATATATATATATATATATATCTATCTATTTAAATATATAAAAAAAATCTTTGCTGAAAAGTTGCTTTCAGTGCGGCACAGTGTGACTTTGGATCAACGGTTTTGTTTTCGTCTTCTGCTCAAAGACGTGCAGGTGTGCTACTGCCACTGACTGGTAAGGAGTGTAACTGCTTCACCAGAGGGTTTTTATATTTGTGCTCATAAATTTGTGGTTTTTACTTCCATCTATTTTCCATCTGGCTTATCCCAAACAGGGCCACAAGAGGTGCTGGTGCCTATCTCCGGCTGTCTACGGGCGAGAGGCAGGGTCCACCCTGGACAGTTTGCCAGTCCATCACAGGGCAACGTAGCAACAAACAACCATTCACGCGCACACTCACACCTAAGGAGAATTTAGATAAGCCAATTAACCTAACAGTCATGTTTTTGGAAAGTGGGAGGAAGCCGGGGTACCCAGAGAGAACCCACACATGCTCAGAAAGACCCCAGGGAAGGATTTGAACCCAAAACCTTCGGGGTGCAAGATAGTAGTGCTACCCGCTGCCCCACGCTGGTTCTAACATGCTCATGTGTAATCTGCTTTTGTAAAGTTGTATTTAGGGTTTGAAAATATGTGATTCTGATTGTATATTTATAATTTGTACTTATATAAATTCCTGATAATTAAATGTAAATGTTTTACTCAGAATTGTAAATTTGTGATTTGTTTTTGTTAATTGGAGATTTGTACTCATACATTTGTGAGTCTTCTTGTCAGTTTGTTACTTATTGTTAAATTTGGGGTTTGTGTTCATATATTTGTGATTCATACTGATTAAGAATTAAAGTTGTAGGGAAATCATATTTAAATGTCAAATCATTATGGCTTAAACATGTATATAAATGTACTCTTTATCAGATCTTATTGTCACAAAAGTTAGAAAATTTTATTTAAAAAAAAGTCCTGTCTTAAAATCATTTTTTCCCCTCGTTATCTTATGCAGGTCAGTTAGTTATACGTCGGCCTGAACACCTAAATTCGACCAATCATATATCAACGGTCATCTGTCAATCAAATATTTTCAGTCATAGCATCTTGATTTATATGTTGCAGCTAAATTTACTCAACAGTTAAAATAAAAAATAAGAATAAGGGCTGGCAGGTCAGCGTAATAAAGGTCAGTGTAAAGCCCACTTCTCTAATTAAGCCATAAAAAAGAAAGAAGAAAGCAAACGGTCAGTTCAGGTGTTTTGTAAAAAAAAAAAAAAAAAAAGCGAGTCAGGAGATTGTCTACTTATATACCAAACTGAAAGATTTTTGTTCTCTACTTCAAAAGCAATTTAGATTTTAAAATGAAAAAGTGTCTCCAGACCGTTTTTCTTTTCATGTTCTTTATTCGGACCCCACAGATTTTTAATTGGTTACCCCTGCTATAGAGTAAGGAGTGCAAACAAATTTCCGTTCATCTGCCTGGATGTTAAACGTCTGTATTGGCCTTGAAGTGAGGAAAATGTAATCTGTCAAACAGGAATTGAATAATATACAATTTGTAAAACTCAATCAGAAAAAAAGTTGAAAAAAAAATTAAATTCGAAAATATAAAACAAAAAACTTTTTTCAAAAAATAAATAAACTCCATTTTTGAATATCAACGTGTTTGAAACTTCCTTTCTAAATCAAAATTCTTTCCAATTTTCATTTAAAAAGCATGATTATTTTTCAGATTTCCATTTGCAAAATGAGCAACAATAATGGAGCAGATTTCACTCCATAGCTGAACCAACTAGAGCTGATAAACAGGCTGAGTTTTCTAGAACAAATCTGAGCAGCTCTTCTGTGGAGGGAAAGCCACAAAGAGAGAGAGAGAGATGAAAAGAGGGAGCACCACTGCTGGTCCGCCCCCGAGTTACCGCACACGAGTCGTTTAACGGTACAAGCCGAGCCAACTGTGGAGCGCGAGCGCGTGAACGTGGTCCTTTCACTCCCCCACCCCCCCCATTCAGAGAGCTCGAGTTTACGGGGAGATGGCAGCTGCTGCAGCTGCTGCTGCTGTGGCACCGCTGGATTGTGTTTACGACCTGGAGCACGAGACCGATGGGAAGAACTCCGCGCGCGCCCGCTCTTTGATCGCACCGTCTTCCTTCACGCCTGGACTCCGTGAGGCTTCCGTTCCGGAGCGCAGCTGCATGAGGAGAGCCTGATAGCCGGTACCGGGATCACCGAACCTGCCTGGTGACGCTGGGAGCGTAGGGGTGGAGGGGGTGGTGGTGGGGGGGGGGGGATCCCAGAGCATCACTCCTTCTGGTTTCCAGCTCCTGGTTTTTCTCCCCATCAGATGCTAAACATTTAGGTGCGTTTGTTAGTGGTGGGGGTGGCGGGGCGGGAGGCTGTCCCCGGCCGCCGAACACGCACCGTCCGCCCGCTGAGGCTGGGCTGAAGCGCCGCTGTGCTGGAGGATGCTGCGGGAGTAAGAAGGGAAGATGGGGAAGGACCAGGAACTGCTGCAGGCGGTGAAGACCGAGGACCTCCTCACCGTGCAGAAGCTGCTGCAGAGGCCGCGGCCAGGGAAAGCAAGTAAGACAATCTGTGCAAAAAGGTTGATAACAATAGAATCCAAATAAAGGCCTGTAGATGGCCGGGTTGGAGCCATGCAATGGCATCTGCCTCATCAGTGGCTGCAAGGCCGAGGTGTTCAAGATGATGGAGGGAGGGGGGGAGAGATGACAGTGGTGATTGGAGACGGATGAAACCCCGCTGTGGGTGAGTGCACTGCAGAGGAAAAGAGGGAGGAACTGTGACCATGCTGGTTATTTTTCCCTGAGGTAAAACCCGTTGGTTTCCTGCAGGTTAGGAAGATCTGCAACACTGCTTCTCCTGCACAGCCCACTCCTAATGTGTGGGCAAGGCAGGCAGAGAGAAGGCTGCAGATAGATGACTGCTGCTTCCACTCATATACTGCATCACTGCCAATGGCTGGGGGGGTGGGGGGTGGGGGGGGGGTGATTATGGCTGTGAATACTTAATGCAACAGGTGGCCTAATTGGACCCAAACAAAGTGATTTCCAAACATTCATGCTTTGAACTTCCCCAGATGTATTGATGTAGAGGTTACAAACCGGGGCGTACGTTGCTGGGATTTTTTGTGATATAATATTGCAGATTGGTGCATAGTTATGGATTAGAAACTGGAAAGTGTGGCATGCATCTATTTTATTTTGACACACCTGGATCAACTGCTGTGTAGTTTGTAAATGGATTCCTCATGTGTAATCTGCGTTAATATTAGGGAACAAACATAAAAACAAAAAGCGAAAGCATTGGTTAAAGGTCTAGACAGGGGCCAATAGGGGCCAGTGCTCCTTTAGAACCGGCCCCTGTACCAAAGACGTAATACAGAAGGAGGAGTCTTGGACTGATTTATATATTTTTTTATTTTTCCAGTTTTATTTTATTGATTTCGTAGGGAAATCATATTTAAATATCAAATCATTCTGGCTTAAACATGTATATAAATGTATTCTTTATCAGACCATATTGTACCAGAATTTAGAAAATTTCTATAAAAAAAAAATCCTGTATTATTTATGCAGACCAGTTAGTTATAAGTCAGCCTGAACACCTAAATTCGACCAATCATATATCATGAGTCATCTGTCAATCAAATTTCTTCGGTCATAGCATCTTTATTCATATGTCTCAGCTAATATATGCAACGGTTGAAATAACAAATAAGAATAATTTCCTTTCCCATTGAGTTCCGTCCCAGTGTTCACTTGGATGGACGTCTGTGTCTTCAGCAGGCGTAGAGCTAACAGAACTGGCAGCGTTGCGAGGCAAGGACTCAAACATGTACGGCTGGAAGCCTTCTACACCAAACCAAGCTTCTGCTGCCCTGGCGTCCTCTTTTACAACATCTTCGTCCTCGCTTTCCTCCTGTAAAAAAAAGACTCATCCAAGACCTCCCAAACTAAACTCTCCTCCTCTTGCATGTTTCCTCTGTCCATAGCGTTCCTTGACAGTGTTTTTTCTAAGTCACCAATTTAGTGCTACTTGGTCCCAATGGAATTTCCCATTGGGAACCTACTAGCACTAAGTTGCTAACTGGTTAGCAAGATGCTTCCCACAAACCCACCATAACAAAACTTGCTTGCGAACCTTCCGCCACAACAATCCCGCCCCCTTGATAAACGACCAATCACATTCACTTTATTCACTCGTGTAAAGTCGTGTACCACTAAGGAGAATTCGGAAATGCAGCGGTTCGAACAGATTCCCTACGACTTTAAAAATTAATTTGTTGCACTTTGAGCTTCATCTTCAGATAGAATCACAGTTTTTTGCTGCTAAATCAGAGGATTCCAGAGCTGCAAATGGCTCTTAGGATCATTTGACATATGAAACGATGAACTTTTTCCTCTTTTTTTTCTTTCTTTCTTGTTTGGTTTCTTCTGTCAATAAAAAAAACACTTGCCCCAACCTGGGCCCTTTTGGTCTATAACCGTCACTGTTTTGTTTGTTCCTGCTTTTCCATATTGATACAGACCTTCCAAATCCAGACTGTCTGTCTAAACTGATAAAAGTCTCAATCTGAGATTAAAACTTTTCTTTCGATGCACGACATGAACTACTTTGTTTGTGTTTATCTCATCAAATCCCACTGAAATGTGGAATAATTAGATTAGCTAATTAGTGGCCCTTCCATTCACTAGTTTGCTGGTGTCACAGCTGTATCTGAAACGGTGTCCTGTCTGGAAAAGGTCCATCATCAGGTGGGCCTTCTCTGAACAGGAAACACAGTTTTGCACCGATTGCTAATAAAAATAAAACCATGTTAAATTCAACTAAATTCACTCTTTATCATCTCTTTCTATCTTTAAATGCCAAGAAAGGGTCTGGTGTTCAGCATCAGAGTGCAGACAGATGTTTGGAAGCAGCAAGATGTGACAATTGAGACAAGCTCAGGCCTATCATCCACATGCAGCGGGCGTTTAGGGCGTCTATAAAGGGAAAATTTCTGAAACCAGAGTGAAAATATTTAAAAAGTCATAAGCATGCCCATATATTCTCGTAGATTTCAGCCTGAGTTCCCCAAAATAAAAACAAAACTAACTGGTCATCTCCTAAAATCAATATAATTACTATACTACATAAGTATTTTATATTATAAAGCACATTATATTATATTTTGTGTAAATTACTTATTTGAAAATGACATATAAGTATTTAAAAATGTATTTTGAGTTGCTTAAATTGGACATTTAATATTGCATTTAAATCATGTATTAAATAATTAAATTCATTTTACAATGACTTATTTCATGGTATATTTATTTCAGTCATATTTATGTATTTCATTAAATGGGAAACCCCTGCTCTATGCAAACACAATGACATCAATGGCACCAAAACATTGTTGGTCTGCGTATATCCAGTTCTCTTCATTGCAAAAAGTGATCTAAAAAAAAAGAGTAAAAACATTTAAAAAACAAACAAAAAAATCAGCATAGGAATGAGGATTTTTAACATTAATTTGAAATAATATTATAAGGTTATTTTTCCTTATTTTAAATGTTTTTGTAGGGGCATTTTCTTAAATCAAGGGAAAATGCACTTTTTAACAAAAATGAACATAGATTTGTAAAGTTTTGCACTGTTCTGGTATAACTTCAGTGTTTTCAGCTGCATTTACTGTGGAATCACACGATGGCCTAATCATAAGCCGACCCCCCACTAACCCTCTGTTTGCATGTTCCCAATGAGGGTCCGCCATGTTAAGGGTCATTCCAAACCATTTAGTGGGGAGGGCTAGTGGACCGTTCAGCCCATAAATAGCAAGTCTGCATCAGTGCAGCCTCGCTGGGTTTTGGCAGCGGGTGTAACGGTGAAATAGTGACAGAGGAACCACATGGATTCAAATGTAAGATCCACTGGTTTACTGCATCTTCATCTCAGGAAATCACAAGTTAGGAAAAAGAAAAAAAAGACGTCATTAACCTCTAAAGTGAAGGTCCTCTATTTAATAGTTGTTTGACTCTATACATTTATTTTTAAGAAAGGGACAAATGTTTGATTGATCTCAAGCTGCGCATCAAAGCTACAGCCATGCACATGCACACTGTGTTGTCATAGAAACGACTACATTCTTTTTCTGGTGGACTGAAGAGGCTATCCCATTCTCATTTATACCCCCCCACTTTCAATTCTATGGATCTAGATCAGTCTCAGCTTTCATAAATACACATATGTGAGTTATACACTATATTGCCAAAAGTATTTGCTCACCCATCCAAATTATTGGAATCAGGTGTTCCAATCACTTCCATGGCCACAGGTGTATAAATTCAAGCACCTAGGCATGCAGACTGTTTTTACAAACATTTGTGAAAGAATGGGTCGCTCTCAGGAGCTCAGTGAATTCCAGCGTGGAACTGTGATAGGATGCCACCTGTGCAACAAATCCAGTCGTGAAATTTCCTCGCTCCTAAATATTCCACAGTCAACTGTCAGCTGTATTATAAGAAAATGGAAGTGTTTGGGAACGACAGCAACTCAGCCACGAAGTGGTAGGCCACGTAAACTGACGGAGCGGGGTCAGCGGATGCTGACGCGCATAGTGCGAAGAGGTCGCCAACTTTCTGCAGAGTCAATCACTACAGACCTCCAAACTTCATGTAGCTCAAGAACAGTGCGCAGAGAGCTTCATGGAATGGGTTTCCATGGGCGAGCAGCTGCATCCAAGCCATACATCACCAAGTGCAATGCAAAGCGTCGGATGCGGTGGTGTAAAGCACGCCGCCACTGGACTCTAGAGCAGTGGAGACGCGTTCTCTGGAGTGACGAATCGCGCTTCTCCATCTGGCAATCTGATGGACGGGTCTGGGTTTGGCGGTTGCCAGGAGAACGGTACTTGTCTGACTGCATTGTGCCAAGTGTAAAGTTTGGTGGAGGGGGGATTATGGTGTGGGGTTGTTTTTCAGGAGCTGGGCTTGGCCCCTTAGTTCCAGTGAAAGGAACTCTGAATGCTTCAGCATACCAAGACATTTTGGACAATTCCATGCTCCCAACTTTGTGGGAACAGTTTGGAGCTGGCCCCTTCCTCTTCCAACATGACTGTGCACCAGTGCACAAAGCAAGGTCCATAAAGACATGGATGACAGAGTCTGGTGTGGATGAACTTGACTGGCCTGCACAGAGTCCTGACCTCAACCCGATAGAACACCTTTGGGATGAATTAGAGCGGAGACTGAGAGCCAGGCCTTCTCGTCCAACATCAGTGTGCGACCTCACAAATGCGCTTCTGGAAGAATGGTCAAAAATTCCCATAAACACACTCCTAAACCTTGTGGACAGCCTTCCCAGAAGAGTTGAAGCTGTTCTAGCTGCAAAGGGTGGACCGACGTCATATTGAACCCTATGGATTAGGAACGGGATGTCACTTAAGCTCATATGTGAGTCAAGGCAGGTGAGCAAATACTTTTGGCAATATAGTGTACATGCACAGGACAAGATCCACAGACACACAGAACAAATCACACAAGAACAAAATATCCACGCACACACAGTACAAGGTCCAC